AATTTTACAATATGTAATAAGAATATTCAGTTTTTCAAAGAGATCAGATTTTTACCTGACAAGAATCATGACCCCCAGAATCATGACCAGCGCATAAAAATATTTCAGGAATAAACTCATGTCGGCCAGCTCGCAAAAACATCATTTTACATCGATCATTGCTAACGATTGGAACTTGAACCTCTTGTAGCACACTTGGTAATGTACCTCCCTCTGATAAACGCCCCCAACCAGTTACTAGATATAGAAATATTAACATACAAGTTTTTTTTATAATAAATCATATGATTCAAATGAATCTATAACAACACATTTCTTTAATAATACATAATTCGTTTTTTATATAGAAATTGGGTACAATAAATGTGAGTAATTTTATTAAATAGGAAAATTGTCCATTGCATAATTCTCCATTTTCGTTTCATATATCTCGTATGGTTAATTGGTTATCCTCTTCCAACCAGTGCATTTGCTGATGAGAACGAATCGATACAACAATTCTGTGTTCAATTTCCGACCGTTGACCGATGACGCAATAACTTAGCTGTCAGTAATCCGATCCTTATGAAACTTGGACATGATATCAGTGGGGCAAGTACCTTTCTAACGTATATAATATCCAGTAGGTGGCGCCACTGATATCTATTATTTTTAAAAAGTTCCGGAACTTTTGGAATGGAGGGTGTAAAACCACGAAAAAATCCAATTAGGATGGTTGGTAAAACCATCCTATAAAATTTGATTTAAAAAAACTATCACTAGAAAAGAAATAATGGACGAACGAAAAACGTACAATGACGGAACAGACCCACAACAACTTGGTCTCGATTAATTTTTCATCCTCAACCCAGGAAGGGTCATTCTTCACACTTCGCGTGGGCGGAAAAGTTATATATAATGTGTAAATATTTTAAAAATGTATATGTGAAATGGTGTAAAATGGCAAAAAAAGAAAATTTTATAACTCTTCACTTTGAAAGGTCAACCCAAATATTATTTTAAAATCCAAAAAAAACCTTTATGCGATTTATATGCCCTTGTATGTAATTTCTTACCTGTGGCATTTCGACCAATAAGTAGGTCATCTGTTGCTGGCAAACAAATTGGCGCAATATGTGGTGCAAATTCAAGAGAAGAATCCAATTGAACCAGTGCCAGATCAAATTCATATGTGAAAAAATTGTATTTAGGATGTACAACTTTTCGAGCAACAGCTCGTTCAACGTATGGAAATTCTTCTTGAATATGTGAGAAATCATATTCACCCACACGGATTCTAATTTGTGATGTCAGTAAACTGAAAGAGTGAATTTTAATTTTAATAAAATATTTGTTTGATATTTCAAAGAGTATTAAAATCTTACTCATCTACGCAGTGCCCTGCGGTTGCAATCCAATTTTCGTTGATAATCGCGCCACCACAGCGATGTGTACTTGAAAATCCGAAGAACGATGTTCTTCGAACTGATACTTGCCAAGGCCATCGTCCAAAAGGGGCGTTTTTACCACCAACTATGCGTGTTTCCGGTCTGCCTATCATTGATATACCACATTCTGGCCATTTAAAATACAAATGATGAAAAAAGGTTAGAAAGTGTGGTACGAAAATATAAAATTTTCGAAAACGCGATTATAGTTTTTTTTTTAAATGTGGGATTAAAAAACCTGTATTTTTAGCTGCTGATAGTGTATCTCGCTTTGGTTTTTCTACATGTTCTTCTTCTGAAATTCGAGATATGTATTATATTTATATTTGCAATATTAGTTGTTTTGCACTAATTAATATTAAATATTTAACTACAACTTTCAACTAAAAAACAAATCAATTTATAAGAAGTATATCTTCAATTCGTATTTAAATTGGTTGACTCCAGATGAAATTTCGTCTACTGGACGTCAGAAATAAGATACCGGTGTAATTTAAGATTTGAGAAATATCAAATCTTTGGAAAATGACATTTTATACTAATATAAATATACCGAAATGAACATTAATCATAACGATGTATAGTCGTTGACAAAACAATGTTCCTACTATGAAAATCACAGATGTATATGACACTGTAATACACGCTGCGTTCTATAATCGCTATAATCTATATGCTATGACTGTATTTGTGTTCTGATTATTGGAAATGAAATGTTATGCACAAAAACACGTTTTATTTCTCATTTGTATTAGTTCATCTGATTGCGTATATACAAATTATGAATTCCATGAGTTTCAAGTTATCCATTTGGTGCCTCAAAATTTTAAGCATTGCATTGGTTCAGTGGTTACGCTTACGGTGCATGACACTGAAAGTCTCAGGTTCGATTCCGTGTGAAAACAATTTTTTTTTCTTTCATATTTTTTTCTTATTTTTTTTTATTTCATAGTTTTTTTGCATTGCTCCATTTTTTATGAGTGGAAGAAACAAGAAAAAAAATGAAAGATAAATATTTTTTTTTTGATTCTTCCATTCATAATAAATAGAGCAATTCGAAAAAATATAACAAAAATTAAAATAAAAAGGGATCCTAAAATTTTTTTCTCATCATTCTGAACAACTTTGTAGTACATTATTTTTTGATCCGATGAACTTTTGAAAAATTGGGGGCACTTCCACCCCCCCTGGGGAAAAATTCAAAATTCTGCTCAGATAGAAATTTTGTATCTTTTATCTCCAACATACTCCCCAAAGGGTTTTTCAAAATTCCCACCCCCTGGAAAACCCGATTATATGAGATACCCTGCATTTTGCTGCGCAATAAAGATTTTACTAATGTATTTCACCATCGCTTTGATTTTTGTGTCGCTTTTTGGCACCATATAATTTCAAATGTTTCCTTGGTTACGCATAACAGTGAAAGACCCAGGTTCGATTCTGTGTGAAAACAAAATATTTTTTCTCTTTTTATTTTAATTTTTGTTATATTTTTTCGAATTGCTCTATTTATTATGAATGGAAGAATCAAGAAAAAAAA